AAAAAAAAAAAAAAAAAAGAATCATATTTCATCCAATTCCAAATTAAAATTAGTTTTATAAACTTGTCCACTAGATTTATCTACTGCAGTAGCATCAATTTCCATTTTACCAAAACGGAGAGAAAATAGTACAGGTCTATCAATTCCAAGAGAAGTATCTTGAGAATCAATTCTAAGTTCACCGAGAAATTTCATACCTTCTTCATCACAATATTTTCCAACATTTTTACGAGTAAAATATATTTTGTAAGATCTTGTTCTTTCCTTGCCTGTGAAAGGCGCAAAAGTCTCTGAAAATTCCTCATCGACCTTGACTATTAAAGTAAAAATTGAATGAAAGTTTTTTTTTTTTTCAAAAATATATATAAATATTTATATTTGTAAGTTATATATATATATATATATATATACATATATTAAATGCAAAACAAATACCTATTGTCCCACGATTTGCCAATTGATGAAATTTAAAAATTCTTCCTAGTTTGGTTCTTCTGTTCGGAGGATCACCTGGTTGCCATTCAAAAGCGACTTTAACACCATAAGAATATTTTAATACTCTAGTTTTAATGGTTTCCATGTGTAATCCATATTGCACAGCACCACGAGCAATTGCAGTTACAGGTTCTTTTGGAACCAAAATATTTGGAATATAATTGAAAGTTGATTTAATTCTGTTTTGTAAATATTTTGATTCACTGAACCCACCAACTAAAAAAATGGCAGTACAATCATGAACATTGCTTAATTGTAAACTTATCAATGTAATTATTCGACTAATTACTGGATCAAACATTGCTTTAACAGTATAAAAATCAAGATCTACTATCCAATCGTTTTCTTCCAGTTGATTTCTTGTGGTACCTTTAACATAATCTTGAATAGCAGGACATACTTCTTGAAAATCTAATTCAAAAGTTTTAAATTTTTCAGGATTACCGGTAAAAACAGTTTTAACAAGTCGACAAAATTCTTGAATCATGAATTGAAATTGACTATAATGATTGTCTTTAAGTAATTTAAGAGCTGATGAACCAACTATACGTTTAATAAAATTTTCAAATTCTTTATCAACATAAGCACTACCACAAAATTCACCAGTACGTTCAGTGATTTCACCCAATTTATTTCCTTTTAATAATTTTCTGGTTGTAAGATCTATAGTACCACCCCCGCAATCGACTAATAAGAATGATCTTCCAACTGGAAATGAATAACATTCTTTCATCGTGTTTATACAATATATTGCAGCAGCTTCGGCTAAATAATAATAATAATAAATATAATTCAATTTATAAAATTATTGATTATACTTTACGTGTTTAAAACAAGAAAGAATATTACTTACGTTCTGTAGTGAATTGCAAATTTTGAGAATCAGGAGTCTCTATTAATTCTGCGTTATATATACCTAAACAATAAATAAAAATAAACAAAAATAATAATAACATTATTATAATTTCTTGATAAAAAAAGAAATATTAATATGATATTTTAATATAAATTAATTCTTACAGCCTCTCATAATTCCTTTTGCTTTTTCAGAAAATTCAGCGGGAACGGTAAATACCAGTAGAACATTTGTAAAGAATTTAATACCCGGCCAGCGTTTGTCAATGGTATCTTTTATTACCTACACATAAAGATATTTATGATACGTTGTTATGGTACGTGGATTTTTAAATTATGTATGGTGTAGGAAACCTTTATTTTATTTCATTTCAACCCATTGAAGAAGTAAAATTTTCAAAAAAAGTTCAGTACTAATTACTATGAAAAGTTATCAACAGAATTTTAGAAATTTCATTTCTTAACGTTGAGGTGAAATAATTATAAAGGTATCCGGCACCATAGCATTAACTATACTAAATTTACTGAAATATGATATATACTATGCCTTAATTTAAAATTTTACAATATTCATTTGTAAGAAAATTTTGTCAAAAAACAGGTTAAAAATATTATTTAAAAATGATCTATACCGAGTTCTTTGAGATAATCAATTATCGCCCGTTTATAATTCAGATTGTTAGGTAAGAACGGTTTTTCATCATTCGGAATATCGCCCAAATGTAATTTAAATAATTCAACTTGTATCGATTGGTTGGAAGGGTATTGGCTAGCTTTTCTACGTTTTTTTGGTTTTTCGGCCAAAGCTGTCAAAATTTAACCAAAAAAAAAATTGATTGACAGAGTTATTAACAAGACCAAAATTTAGAAATTAAAAATTTCAAAAATCTCACCTGAGCGACCCCAATCAATGACTTCATTTAATTCAATATCATATGATAGAGCAGTGTTGGTTTTGGTTTGACCTACATGGTTTGGCCAAATGTCGTGGGTTATTATTTCGGAATTTACTTTGTTAGCGTAGGAAAATCCCTATTTGAAAATTAATAAACGAATAGCGATAGTGATTAAAAAAAAAAAAAAAAAAGTGAATCAAGATTTATAAGAATAAAAAAAATTTTTTTTACAGAGTATGTAGTTCCAAAATCTAAATGAAAAGATTTAATATTGATTCATTTAATATTAATTCAAATACGCAAATACAAAATACGGTAAGCAATAATATAATGAAATATAATCGATGTATTCACCTACTCCAACAACAACTCTGATATCTTTTAAAGACATGATTATATAAAGAATTATAATAAAACGAATGTACTAAGCTAATGCATTTATAGACTGGATGACCTTTTAACGTTAAATATAAAACAACGAATTTATTTATACTATATATATACTTTCGGACATATTTTTTATTACTCCGGTTATCGTTACTCAGAGGTGTTAAATTACTTAATTAAACTGTTCTGGAAAATATTTGTGATACTTTAATAATTATTGAATTTCAATTTCACGCATGTATGTTCGTACAGTATTAAATTTTTTGAGTTGCTCACAATATAACTACGATGTTTATACAAAACTTTTCAAACTAATAAATTCTTACGTATTACCATGAGCAGTGGATTTTTTTTGTTATTGCTGCATGAATACGTATCAAATGAAATTCCATAACATCCATAACATTATAACGCCAAAATAAATCTCAACGATAAGCATTATTATTCTTCCTAAATACGTATACTGATTATGTCACATGAAACGACGCAAATTCTTTATGCATGTATCATAATCGTATGTAAGAATTTACATTTTTGATGTTGAATTAACAAACAATTTTTTTCCTTTTTTTTTTTTTTTTTTAACCCATTATTGTTTGTACGTACAATCAATTTTGACCTACAATATACATATAATATTATCATTTCATATGCTAAAATTGATAGAACAGCAGACTTTGAATATAACGAACAACAGATTCTATGTGGAACATAATAATTACTCTAAGAAAAAAGTTTTTATTGTTATAAAGAGAATCAACCCATACTATATATATATATATTTTTATCCTGTACTTTAAGCTGATGAAAAATATGAGGATTAAGATATCGATCTGCTTAATCTAATCAATTGTCATGTTCAATACTGGACTACCACAATCATTGTGCTTTATCGCTACTACATGAGTTACACAATTTAGTAATTTTGTCAACTGTAATATAATAAACGAGTATATTTTTATATAGGATTTCGAATGGTTATTTATATTGAAAGCACTCATGATTTTTTTTTTTTTTTAGAAATTCTTTGTGTATTAGCGACCCATATAAAGTACATAATTATCGTAATGTTTCATGATATGTTTCGCGTTAATGTTTTACGTAGTAATAATGTTAAAAGTTTTAATATGTAGTAATGGTTTCAAATAGATAAGATAAAGTTTATTTGTGAATACGTCAATTGATTTTGAGCAAGTTTTGCATTTTTAATTGGATTTTACCTAACAGCTAATAAGTAAAGTTTAGAAAGCTACAACAGAAAAGTATTAATTAATATAGTTTTTAAACATAGTAAATATATTACCTTTAAATAACAACCCAGCTAGCTATTACAGCATTTAGAAGCGTATTTTAAGTTTTTAATTTATTTAGAAGAAAACTTTTAACTTTACCGTTACAATTTGTAAAATTAAAATTAAAATTTAAACTAGGAAAATTCTATTTTCACCCGGGTTAAAGTCATCCGATAGACTATAATAACATTCGCGTGACTAAAATTAATAGTATATATCTTGGGTCGCTGTGTATTAATGGATTTTTCCGTGTTTATTATGTACACTAGGTTTTCGTATTAGTTTTTGATGTATTACTCAACAAATTATAAGAAAAAAGCAGTTATTGAAAAATAACTTTTCTACAACTTTACTTATTGTTACTATTGTAAATTGGGAGCGAATATCGTTGCACGGTTTAGCTCCAATAGTTAACATGGTTGGGACGTGACAGCATCTCACTTAACCAGGTGGGATTCAAGCATTAATGATAGTTGGGATTAAAGGAAAGGCAGATCATTGTTTTATGTTACTTTATTAAGAAGGACGTTGTTCTTCCTCTTTATTAAAATGAGACAGCCTGTGCTTTTATACATTTTACGATCTTAAGAAACCTGACCTGTTAGAGGCTTCGTGCTATCACGCTAGCCTCACACAGCCTTTACACAAACTAAAACTCTAACATTATTAACCAAAAAATGCACAAAATCAACCGACAATTGCTGCGGAACTAATTAACATCCATAGTGAATAGTCGCCTTGAATAACTTCGATTTCAATTATTTTTTTTATTTTTTCCTAGATTCACAATTTTTTGTGCTTTCCCAAGTTCCTATATTAAAATCTTATCTTTGTAATAAATAAGTATTTACTCTTGCTCTTTAATACTAACTTCTGGTAACCTCTTAAATTTAGATTACTTAAATTACTGCAAAGTGGAAAGATGAAAGAATAAAATAATATTTACCATTTGCAATCAAATAAATAGGAGTTAGTAAGAGAAAACCTGTTAATGAATCACATCAGCAGACTTCTATAAGTCCGCTGCAAGAATCAAATATGTTTCACAAATAGCACCAAAAAAAATATTAATTTTTTTATATATGCAGAGAAATGTTTAAAAAGCCAAAATACTGTACTTTAAGCATTATTATTAATTAATAATGGCAACTTTAAATGATTTATTTATCCCAATCAGAAATGGCATTTACAACATTCAATAAGAATTTGATCAGAATTTTAGGTCTCTTCTTTAGACAATAATTGAGCGTTACTCGATTCAATTCGATCATTTTTCCGAGAGAATAATTAAATTTTATATAACGATAATATCAAGATCTAATATATCAAAGTCGAAGATCCATACTCTTTATTAGGTTATTTATATATTCATTTGTTTGTACACTTCATTGTATTTGATCAGGATCAATCACATGTGGTTGGCCACATACATATATGAACCTTTCATAACAGTTCTTCATATTCAAGCAAGATCTAATGCAGATCGACTTTGAAAACATTAAGATTAAACTTCTGAATATCATAATATTCACGTGGTTTGAATTCAGAATTTTAGAATAAATAAATAATTACGTTAATCCGTGTCACGAATACTCCTAAAAACTTGTTCCAAAAACAGACTGAAAGTTTAGCATTAACGTTAAAGATGAGGCAACACAAACCACTTATTATTTTACGGGGTATGTTACCTATAATTGAAAAAATTTATTAATTTCTTTTCTCTTTTTTTTTTGGCCGGTTTTAACTATCAAAAAAAAAAAGACCGTTATCAATAATGACAATTTCTTATAGAAAACCATTCACCATTTCAATATTACAATTTCTAACTATTCTCACTTTTTTAATGATAATTCCTTCATCTTACTCAAATGATACTCTAACATTTGATCCGACAATCCCATCCTGTGTAGCATGCCAACAAGACTTTTCTTCCGTAAACTCGTGTTGCAATGCAAATGCTAGCGTAGACTTCAGTACCATCATTTCCGATCCTTCTCTATTTGTTAATGAACTTCGGTGTGCATGTTTTGATTCATTCCAAAAGACTTATGCTCTTTGCTTATATTGTTTTCAATTAACAAATCAAACGCAAAAGTTTTTGAATTCGAACGATGTACCGCCATCTGTGGATTCTATTAGGTCTGCATGTGCATTTTTTAGTTCAGTTACACATAATGCTAGCGGGTATAATGCTACAGCTACTGCATCAACTTACAGGTCATATGGCGGGATAACTGAATGGTTTTTGGTGATGTTTTTAATAGGAATTTGTTGGAATTTGCTTGAAATTTGATTAAATTTATTTAATTTCTTTTATATATTTTTTCACATAACTTATATTTTATTCTTTTCTATCAAATTATAAGTCTAAATTAACTAATTATTTTGTATTTATATTTGTAATTTTATGCTGTAAAGACCAAAGTCCATAAACATAATTTTTTTTACAAATTGAAATTAAAAATTTATGTAAAATATTTGAATATAAATTTATATGAGGTCTTATTTACCTCTTCATAACTCTCTTTGACAAAACTGAGTTAAATTAATATAGTATGCAAAACTTGATCTTAGGATTCACCCGTTTCACTGATAGCATTTTTCTGACTCTAACCTAACCAATACTAATCAAATCAGATAAACCTTAATTATCGTAGAAATAGCTGTTGATGAAATAAGCAATCAAAGAAACTTAAAACAAACCTCTGGTTAATATATTATAGCTAGGTTTGTAAGTTCCAGAATCATACGAAACAAGTTTAACTTCAGACTGAACTATGATATATACTAGACTTTTAGAGCCAAGTCAGACCAGACCGACTTTTCATATCCTACATAAAACACAAGAACTTTTTGGATACAGTAATTAAAATTGATTAAAAAAATTTTATCCAACTTTTATGAATTCGTAAAATTAAAATAAAAAAAAGTTTAATCGAGATATTTTTGAGAAAAAAACTTTGTCATTTCTTCTGTTTTTGCTAGTCTTCTAATTTAAATTCTATAAATTGTAAAATTAAATAAAAAAAAAAAAAAGTTTTTTTTATCAATTTTTAATGTGGATATCGAAATATCTTTATTCAATTTTAGAAATCTTTCCGTAACTTCTGTTTTGATAGTCATCCAAATTTTTTACGATAACTACTGTCACGGGGAGTTTTGACACGAGATAGCAATTATTACCAAATTTAGTATAATTGTAAATAATGTAAAAATT